GAATCGGGCGAGAAGAAGATAGAAGCCAACGACAAGAAGGTGAAGACCTACAATTCTAGGGTCGATCAAATCCCGGGCGTACCCCCGATCCTGAAAGGTGTCGACTCCAAGAAGTTCGTGCAAAAACTGTTCCCGCAGGAAGCGGCTCTAAAACCCATTCCAAAGAAGTTCATAATGCCCGATCTTCCGAAGTACAATGGAACCTCGGACCCCAACGAGCACGTCACTGCTTACACTTGTGCAGTAAAAGGCAACGACCTGAAGGACGACGAGATCGAATACGTCCTACAGAAGAAATTTGGAGAGACGCTCTCAAAGGGAGGGATGATGTGGTACCACAACTTAGCTCCACACTCGATAGATTCGTTTGCCATGCTGGCAGATTCGTTCATANCCAACACTAAATACAGAGATGAATTGAAGAAACTTACTTTGTCATTAATAAACGTTAGATTACAAAAAGACACATGAAGGGACCTTACACACAATTACAAATCCTACGAAGGGTCCTTATATAGAAACAAAGAAGCAAAAGTAACAGTTAAAAGTCTAGTCTGCTCTCGGGGGAACATCCTCGTGAGCAATGCCTTCGAGAATCGTTTCTTTGGGGCCCCGCCTCGACCTTCCAAATGGCAACTTCAAGGATGAGGAAGAAGCAGAAAATGATAAAGAAGCAGAAAAAGATGAAGAGGGGGTCGTGGCTCGCCAAAGAGCAAAAGCTCTTAGCAGGCCTTGCCGGCACGGCTACTTTGAGTCCAATTCTTGGAACATTGTGCCGTGCAGGTTAGTAGCTGGTAGCGCCGCTTTACTCCACGGAAAGCAAAAGGGGTGAAACGCCACACCCAGCTGAATTAGGGAGGTGAGCAGCTGTGTAAAATTCGAACGTCCTCTTGAGCAGCCGTGTAAAGTTCGAATACCTTCCTAAGTAGGAAGAAATAGGCGCCCCTATCTCGTCGTCTCGAGCCAACGACGATAGCAGTAACAACAACAACAACAACAACAAAAACCAGTTCGATCCCATTCAGTAAGGGAAAACTCTGAGAAGGAGCCATAACACAACTGACAAGAACGCCTTCGTGTGACCTTGCGGCCGCAAGCTTTAAACATGGGAAATAAAATGGGATAGCGACGAAGAGAAGTAAGGAGCCGAAAATTGTTGAAGAATGACTGAATGAAGTTTTGGTTCAAGAAAGCTTCCATTTATAGAAAGGAGGAAGCGTGACCAACAGCGCAATCAATGCCTCTGGGAAACGTGCCGACAGCGCAATCTATGTCCTGGGAGAACGGATCGGCAGGCGCAATCAATGCCTATTGGGAAACGGATCAGCGGCGATATTATCGCCTTGAGAAAGTAAACTGGCGCAACATCAAGTGTTCCTCGGAAAGACGTATCGATGGGACATCTCAGTTATCGGAAAAGTTGACGTCATGAGCATGACATCATCGCAAGAGGCTCGAGGGGATTGGTGTCAAGATCGTTTCTTATCATTTTATTCTAAGAAAGGGGACTATCTATATACGGTAGAAATTAGAGGGCTCAATTTTGTGATCACTAGGGCGCCTGAAAAAAAAGACCACCCCCGGAGGCTCGAAGTCTAGCTCAGAGTTCGCCCCCGAGGGTTCGTGATGATCGACCTCGAGTCAGTACAAACCAACTGCTGCGACGCACCAATGGGAAGTTCCCAAGGCACATGATGAATACTGACAAAGCCTGCGAGGGAAACACTAGTCTGTACCAGACTAGTAAGTAGCTGTTCCAGCTATATTTCTTTGTAATAATTACTCATGTATTATGATGGGATTTCCCTCCTTATATAAAGGGAATCCTTGTCATTTTGTAGGAGGAGGAAACACACAAGATACTTCATTCAATACAAGAACATTCTTTCTGCTCTCTAACTTAAACATACTCTCTATTTGACTCTGTTGCTTACATTTATTGTTTTATTTACATTTATTATGTATCATTAATCGTCCTTCATTTATTGCTCGTTATTGGCCATAAAGAGCCGCAATCACAACCCTAATAGTTGTTAATCCCCCATCGACGGCCCTTAGCTGGGAATCTAACTTGGCATCGAGGTCCCGCACGCGCTAGCTCGAGGCCCCGATCATCAACCGTTTGGTTTGGTTTCTAAAGCCATCTTCAATCTCTTATATTATTTTCTAACCCCGTCACTTAGCATCTACTGCTTAACAACTGGCATAATAATATTCTTAGAACCACAAAATTAAATCTAATTGTTATTACCATTTTAAAGGTAAACATATTTAAAACAAGTTACGATGTCCCGCACTTGTTATTTGTACATATTATAAGTCACGCCACATGAAACGCACCCGTAATTTACAACATATTAATTATTAATTATTTGTAGGGTACGTGCACTTGAATTTGGGATTACGTATCATAGGTATGCCACGAGAGCCGTACCCATAACCATGACAATTAAATTATTCAATGCGCGCCTAAAGCAACTAGCGATGTTCATGAATTAATTTCCCTAAAACTAGTTTAGGATTATTACGAGGCCATGAGTTTATGGAAATTATTTGTGAATGAAGAGAAGTAAATTAGTTCTGAAAATGCGGGTTAGCCTTGGTAGGCTTCCCTATTTGGCACAACTACTTGATGACCTCAATGAAAACCAATTTGGAGATGATAAAAATTCCCTTACACACAAATCCCTTTGCTATTATATTTAACTACTTTATTAAAACTTATTCTTAGATTCTTTGAAAAATATAGTATCCTAACTTAAGATACTAACACCATAAGTACTCATTAAATTAATCCAAAATAAAGATGAATAAGATTGAGAAATACCAAACACTAAGATGGACAGCTAACATGGTATACGACAAGACTAATCTAAAACAAAGCAAGCAAGCAAATTTAAAAACCTACCTGTTAGAAAATAATTGAAACCCATGGAACGTCCCCACCTATCTCAAACAGAGCAAACAGAATGCTTAAATCACTTAAAGAGCAAAATATGAATCCATACGTGCGTTCCTAATCATTCTGAACTACCAAGAAGACACTTAATTTTCAAAGCATTTAAGAAATAGAATAAGGAACCAAATCTCTAGCAGAGTCCAGATTCGAGAGAAACAATTAGCACATTTACACAAGATCCACCTTAGTGGCCAGCCATAGAAAATCTGATCAATCCCTCTTAGCAACTCAACATCAATGATCCAATAACACCATAACAATTGATAAACAAAATGAAATCACATGTGAAAACATGCTGAGAGAGAAGAGGTGATCCATCAACAACATTCATAAAGCTATTGTAATAAGATGAGATAAGAACAAAAAGGACCTTTTATAGATGCATCTGAGCTTTGATTCTTTGACAACTGTTGAAGCTTAAAGACTAACAAAACCGCGTACAATACCTCAACAGAAAATCGACCAAATTATCGAAAACTCAAAGCCGACTCAGGAAACTCACTAAACTTTGATGACTTTAAACGGCTAAAATAGAGCTTAAACTGCAGGTCTTTTAGTGATGTAAGAAGCTGGTTTTCGGATTATTTTAATGGAGGTTTTGCAACGTTTTTGGACTGGTTTTAGGACTGTGTTACGGGAGAAATAGAGTTGGGTTAGGGGTGAATTTAGGGACAATTTTAAGCTAGTTTCAAGCTGAGATTTATGGAGGATTTCACTAGTTTTTTGGTGAAGCATTGCATTTTTGCTGCTGCTATGAGTAAGGAGAAGCAGTCACATTTTTCTTTTCCTTTTTCCCCATTTTTTCTCTTTTTTCTCCCAATTCTCTTTATGTCCTCCTATTTTGCTATTACAATGATTTTCGATAAATTCCATAAGCGTGTGTGGGTGAAAATTAACTGAAAAGTGAGACAATCTGAAATAAAACTAGATCTGCACAATTCTCAGCACAACTGTCTCTGTGAGTTTAAAGAAACTTTTAATAACTTGTATGAATCTACAAAAATCAGGCAAAATTTTACATCTAAACATTTGAATATTTAATATGCACATGAAAATCAAACGTCAAACAAGAGCAGATAGTTCATTAATATAGATAAGATAGAATTACAGAGTAATTGATGTGTTTACCTCTGAGCAGGAGATACAAGAGCAAACAACCAAATAAAGCTGGGATGTAAGAATGGACTTTAGACCACTGATTTTTGGCGAAGGAAAGCAAAGCAACAAAAATTTTAGAAGCTCATTCCGCCTTTAAAATTCAGAAATCATGTGATAAAGTAATGCAATTTGAAGTTTTAAGAACTGCAGGTCTGAGCGAAAACTTTTTAATTCCTGAAAATTTCCCTAGCTTTATTGTGTGTGTTCGTGAGTGAGTGTGTATTTCTGCGGGTTTCCGTGAATGAAGATGAGAGTGAGGGTCTATTTGTAGAAGTGTGGGTCAATTCGTGTGAGGGGAGCTTCCTTCTCTTTCTTTTTGAGTGAAATGAGGTAGGATAGTTTTAGTGAGGGAAAAGAGAGAGACGACGCCATTTGGTGTTAAGGAAGGGGATGGGTCAGGTTAGTGATTGGGCTTGGACGGATATTGAAAACAACTGGGTTGTTCTAATTGTTTAGCCCAGTTAATATAGAGTGCGCAGCCTCTTTTACTTTCATTTTCCTTTGTTTGATCCTCAAAATTAGCCATTTAGTTTAAAAATCCTAATTAAAGTCTATTTTGCACATTTAACCCCGTGGTCTATTTTGTTTTAATAACTAACTACCTAATTAATTAGTTTTATAAATTAAAAGAAAAAGAAACTAATCAATTAAACCTAAAATACAAAATGCAAAGTGAACTAAATGCATTTTTGTGATTTTGTATTTTAGTAATGCAATAAATATGTAATTAAGATCTAAAAATGTGAGGATTAAATATAAAATATTTTTGTCATTTTATGATATAATCAAATAAAATACAAAAAAAAAACTCTTAAAATTCTATAAATTGATTAGAAGCCATTCTTGAAAGGCTTTTTTGGAGTAATTTGCATTGGGGCAAATATTACGTGCTCACAACGGGCTCCAGGATTACTTTATCGACATCGAACATTTTCTTTGCGGCCGAGTGTTCCCCGTAGATTGTTTTGACTCCTCCCAGAGTGGGAAATTTCAACGATTGATGTAAGGCTGAAGGCACCGCTCTCATACTGTGAACCCATGGCTTTCCGAACAAGGAATTGTACCTCATATCCCCCTCGATCATGTAGAACTTTGTTTCCTGGGTTGTCCTAGTAGTGTTTACCTGTAAAGTTATCTCACCCTTCGTTGTCTCGCAAGCCGTGTTGAACCCGTACAACATCCAGACTGTTGGTATTACTTGGTCCGACAATCCCAATTGTTCTACGACCCTCCTTCGGATGATGTTGGCCGAGCTACCTGGATCAATCAATACATGTTTAATTCGAGATTTATTGATAAGTACGAATATTACTCGTGCATTCTTGGGAGGCTACATGATGCCATCGGCGTCTTCGTTGCTGAGCGAGATAGGCCCTTCTGGGACATAGTCCTGGGTGCATTTTTCCATTGTGAAGAAACTTTGGTGCGTTTTATCATTGGCCCTTGGGGGACATCCACTCCCCCAATGAACATGTTGATCACACGTGCTAGGGCTCCTCTTGTTCAACTTGCTTGTTGGCGTCCCTGTTTCTGAAATGATTTTTGGCCCGTTCGCTCAGGAATTCTCGAAGGTGCCCATTGTTGACTAATCGAGCTACTTCTTCCCTTAGCTGTCAAGATCTTCGGTCCTATGACCTTGAGTACCGTGGTACTTACACACCAATTTATGATCCTTTTGGCCAGGATCGAACTGAAGTGGTCTAGGCCACTAGGTTTCTATGATGCGTCCTATGGCCGACAGTATAGTTGCAGTGTCTATGTTGAATTTGTACTCCGATATTCTCGGCGTGTCCCTACCCCTGAGCAACCTATCAAAATCGCTTTTTCTCATTAGGCCTCGGTTGCTCGGTCCTTGATCATTTCTGTTGTTGTTCCTTGTCGGGTGGTGCCCGGATTTGTTTTCCCTCTGATCTGCACCATACAGCTGGTATCGATCTCGAACCAGCCTTGGCTCCTGGTCGATGATTCTCTTAGACCTGTCATTTGCTCTGTTAGGCTAAACAGACCCCGAGGGAGCCCCTAGTTGGTCGTCCTCGACTCTGATCTTCGATTGATACCTGTTATGGGCGTCGGCCCAGGTGAACGCCTGGTACTCCACCAAATTTTGCTTCAATTGTTGAGAAGTCACGAAACTTCGGGGTTGGGCCCTTGAGTAAATGCCTGAATGGCCCAAGCATCCGCGACCGGGGGCAAGTCCATCTTTTCCATCTGGAACCTCGATATAAACTCCCTAAGCATCTCGTTATCCCTTTGCTTGACTTTGAAAAGGTCCGACTTCCTCGTCTCGACCTTGATGGTGCCGTCATGGGCATTTACAAAAGAATCTATAAGCATAGCAAACGAATCAATAGAATTCGGAGGAAAGTTGTGATACTATATCCATTGCTCCCTTGGACAAGGTTTCCCCAAATATTTTCAATAACACCGACTCGATCTCGTTGTCTTTCAGGTCATTTCCCTTGATTGTGCATGTAAAGGAGGTTACATGCTCATTTAGATTTATGGTCCCATTATAATTGGGAATGCCGGGCATTCAAAACCTCTTCGAGATCTGCTTTAGTACCGCGCTCAGAAGGAAAGGCTTCTGAACGAATTCTTTGGAATCTGGCCCCTTCAATATTTGGGGTGCTCGCGGGATCTGATTGACCCTGGAGTTATAAGTTTCCACCTTCTTGCCGTTGGCCTCTTTCTTTTTCTCGCTAGACTCCACTTGCTTTATCAATGCTTCGAGCATCTTCATCACCTCAGAAGTTTCCCCGGGCTCGATCATCTGGTTCCACGGTAACTTGTTCATCCCTTTAAGTGTTTTCCATGGTCCGCACGGGCTCGATCCTATTAGGGACGTGACTCTAGGTCTGCAACTGTGCTATTGCCGCTTGCTGAGCTTGCAACATTTCGAAAATCCACTGCAAGCTAACCCCATCACCTTCACCTTGGGGCGCTTCATGAGCCGATGGCCGGGGTGCCCCGCGAATGCCGTTTTCGAGGTCAGTTGGCAGACTGATGTTTATGGCAACCTGTGAGTTAGTATCGATCGGGTCGGTGATTGGGACACCATTGGGATCAACAGGGGGCACGTCATTGCTAGGTACCACGTTATTATTTTTGCCGTGGTGGCCTAGCTCGGCGTCAACGTTCAAGTGAGCAGACTGAGAATTTGACATCATTAGGTTAACTTGAAATCAAACTTCAAAGAACAAGTGTAAAATAGAGTGTGTTATGGAGATTCGTATCAATCATCACTATTATCCTTAGCCCCACAGTGTGCGCCAAACTGTTTATCCGTAAAATTGATAAATAACTAAATTTGTACGCGGTTTAAAGGACACGTGATTTAATCTGATACGAATGATCTAAGAACGGTAAATAATTAAATTAGAGAGAGAGAGAGAGAGAGTAAACTATCACACCAATCGCGATGGAACAATCAAACCTGATTTTAAGCTGGACACTGAAAACTAGCTCTGATCGAGCCTTCGATATGAGCTCGGTTAAAATTAAAGGAGAGAGTAACTGAAGAACACTTTGAATAATAGCTAGAAGACAAAAATCAACTTTTATTGCTTTGATGTGCATGTCAACAGTGTGTTAAAATAAAAAAATTATCTCCTTTATATAGTAGGGGAATTTCAATCCTAGTACAAGTCTAAATGAGGTAAAAATCTTCTTTTTCGGTAAATATCGATTCGCAGTTGATATCGGACGGGATTTTCACCGTAATATCCGGTTGAGGGCGAATATTACGGCTCCCTACTTGTCATGCTAAACTATTTCTCTTTTTCCCGTGGTCTCAAAACTTTACTTGGTCCGGATCCGTTGTTTAGCCATGTCTGATCCCAAATGCATCGTTCATCCCTCCCAAGCTCCTACACGAGGGACCCTTCGGCTTCGCATGAAGTTGCGTCGGACCGTGCTTCCCTCTCGTTTCTTTATTGGGGAATTGGGGGTAACATTGTCCCCAATTTTACTACACCGTAACAACTCGACCGGTCGTTTTGAGCATTTGCACTTGGCTTGCCAGTTCTCGGGCATGACTAGCCCCGTATAATGTATTATGACTTATGTAAATCATCGGTTTTGGTTTTCAGGGTAATCGAAATAGATATGGAAGGATGATTCTCAACTTGAAGCTTTAAATTTGAAAGGTTTGACTCAGTCTTGATTTTTTAGTATTCGATATCGGATTTGGATTTTATGATTTGGTTAGCTCCGTCGGGTGATTTTAGACTTAAGAGCATGTTCGGAATGTATTTTGGAGGTCCATGGTAGATTTAGGCTTGAATTGGCAAAATTGGATTTTTGGTGTTTTCCGGTTGGTAGTGTTAACCTTTAATCGGGGTCGAAATGAAATTCCGGAAGTTGGAGTAGGTCCGTTGTGTCATTTGTGGCGTGTGTGCAAAATTTCAGGTCATTCGGATGAGGTTTGATAGACTTTTTGATCGTTTGCGGAATTCGGAAGTTTTAGAATCCTTAGGCTTGAATCCGAGGGTGATTTGATGTTTCGACGTTGTTTTGAGTGTTTGGAGGATTGGTACAAGATTGAATAGTGGTATATGACTTGTTGGCATGTTTGGTTGAGGTCCCGAGGGCCTCGGGATGGTTTCGGAAGGTTGTCGGAAAGTTTGGACTTGAATTGGGGCAGCTGAAGCTGCTGTGTTCTGTCGTAACCGGACCTACGGATTGGGGACCGCAGGTACAAGCCGCAGAAGCAGAAACCTGAGCGCAGAAGCGACATGGTCGCAGGAGCGGGTAGTTAGACCGCATCTGCGAGCCGCAAGTGCGGTGCCTGAGGGCTTTAATGAATACCGCAGGTGCGAAAATCACTGGGCAGAAAGTATATAAGTCCCCCTTCGTGAAATTTGGGTTGTTTCAACCATTTTTATCTGGAGTTGAAGCTTTTTGGAGGGTTTTGAAGAGTCAATCAAGGGGGTTTTCATTGAGGTGCGTTTCTTGAACCTAAAACTCGATTCTATGTTGATTTTCAGTTGTTTAAGCATGAAATTTATGAGATTAAGGGTAAAAAATTCGGAAGTTAGGGCTTGAAATTGGAGAGGTAATATTAGGAATTTTGAGCGGCCATTTGAGGTCCGATTTTGATGTTCTTGGTATGTATGGACTCGTGGGAGGATAAGGATTCTATTGATGTAATTTTTATCGAATTCCGAGACATGGGCCCGGGGTCGGGTTTGGCCAATTTCGGGATTTTTGATGTAATTTGATTATTTTCGCGTGGGCTTTGTTCCTTTAGCCTATTTTGATGTTATGATTCTGATTTTGGATAGATTCAGTGCGAGTTGAGGCCGAGTCGAGAGGCAAAGGCATCGCGAGCTAGAGTGTGGACCGGTTTGAGGTAAGTAATGATTGTAAATGTTGTCCTGAGGGTATGAAATCCCGAATTTCACATCATTTCACTACTTTGAGGTGACACACATGATAGATGACGAGCGTGGGGTCGTGCACCGTTGGGGATTGTGACTTGGTCCGTCCCGTACGACTATTATGTCGCGTATTTGGTTGAAAACAATTTGATACTATTGTGTTTTGGAAAGCATTACTATGTTTTGGGTTGAATGCCATATTTGGGCCTCGTGCCAACTGTTTGGACCCTTAAGGGCTTTTACTACTTTTCCTCATTGTTTTGATTTAATAACTGTATTCAGTCATGCAATGTTTTATTGATTTCATAACTCTATTTACCCTAATTTGATGCATAAATGATATTTCGACTGAGTACATGTTTTACTGTTAGCCCGAGGGGCTTGAGTGACTTCTGACTGAGTGAGGCCGAGGGCTTGTGTTGTGAGGATATTATGGGATCGGGCTGCACACCGTAACAAGTTGTTACTGATTCATGATATTGTGAGGCTGAGGGACTGATTGATTTATGCCACGAGGTGGCTTGTTATTATGAGGTCGAGGGCCTGACTGATTTGTTATGCCACGAGATGGCTTGTGATAGCGCTTGGGATGTAGGAGCCCCTCCGGAGTCTGTAAACCCCCAGTGAGCGCGGGTACCCAGTGTGAGTGATGTGATATTGCCCGAGGGGCTGTTGTTGTTTCATGTTGTTGCCCGAGGGGCTGATTACGAGTGATTGTGAGGTAGCCCGAGGGGCTGGTTCTGTTGATATTTTGCCCGAGGTGCTGTTTATGGTACATATCTTGCCCGAGGGACTGTTTACGTTTCTATCATTTTGACTCACTGTTTCTATTTGAAACTACTGAAAGATGTTTTAAAAGAAAGGTTTTACTAAAATTGAATTTGTTTTACGAGATAAATGAGTTCTGTACTAGTTTGGGAAATGTGCTGTATTCGCTGTAGTGCTGTGACGTGGAATTATCTCTTTTCTTACTGCTCAATTTTCATTTACTTTTATTACTTACTGAGTTGGCGTACTCACATTACTCCCTGCACCTTGAGTGCAGATTCAGGTATTTCTAAACCCGGTAGCGGGTGTTGATCACACAGTGGCAGGTTCATCGGAGTTAGCAATGTAGCTGCCCGGCATTCGCAGCCCTGCTTTTCTCCATCTTATCCTCCTTAGATTGTTTTTAGTATATTTTTAGACTCTTCGTTGTATTCAAACCTTAGTAGATGCTCGTGACTTGTGATACCCCGATGCCGGGCTGGTGTATTTATTCCGCACTGGTTATTTAGACATATGTTATGAGTTTACTTGTTAATTAATGACTTAAAAATTGCTTTTATAGAATAATGGTTTGATTTGGGAATTGTGGCGGCTGGCCTAGTTTCACGATAGGCGCCATCACGACCGAGTCGGTTTTAGGGTCGTGACAAGTTGGTATCAGAGCCTAGGTTACATAGGTCTCACGAGTCATGAGCAGGTTTAGTAGAGTCTCGCGTATCGGTACGAAGACGTCTGTACTTATCTTCGAGAGGCTGCAGAACCTTTAGGAAAACTTCACATTCTTTAATTCCACGCGTTCGTATGCGCACATGAGCACTCAGTATCAGCAGTGCATCGACAGTTTGTGATTCCCTGATCGAGGGGCGAGATGTGATTTCTGTGTGTTGATGTTTGGCCGGTTTGGAGGTCTTGAGGCCGGGCTTTACTTGTAGCTTGAGCACTGAGGTGTTGATTGTGCGAGCACGTGCTTCTGGATTTATATGTTCGTTACTGTCCCTATTCGAGGAAGTGATGACTGAATGGCTAGGTGATGAGTATGATATGACTGCGAGATGTGTTCATATGACTTGAATGCGATGAGAAGGGTCTGCTTGAGGGTAGAAAGAACTATTTGGTGCTCGATTTCCATCTTGATTGGATGTATAGCCCCGAGTTAGGGGTGTGTGAAGGATCTTTTCATATTGTCTAGTTGGGGAGTGCAGTAGATTTCATGTTACGATATGAGTTCAGACTCGGGAAGATTTAGTGATTGCGTGATGTCTATGACGGTGGAAGGGTATGAAGAGATGTTAGTTTGAGGCGAAGCAGGTGGGTTATCTCCTGCGGAGTGTTCTAAGGTTTGTGTGATCCTTTTGTTGTTTGTCGGAAGACCTCTTGTACCAGTGGAATATATGTGTTGCAATTTTAATTTTGATCTCTTAAAAGAGTGGGCTTGACTGTTACGAGGGTGAATGCGAGATTTGCAGAAGATTTGAAGTACTAGATGGCTTGTGTTGCACTAGTTTATGAAGGGTTGAGTTTAATCTCACTATGGTATTATGGCGGTATTAGAGTATAGGCATTGTGAGTTATTATGTGTTTTGATCTATGGCTTTGAGCCAAGTGGGGGAGTCTGCTATCGATCAGTTGATTGCACAGTTATGTGCTA